TTAGTCACATGTAAATTGAGGGAGAGTAGACTGAGTGTGATCTTTGGTTTAGGTCTCAGCTTCACTTCTGGCTCCCCTGCCCTGTGACTCTGGCAAATTACTTGAGTTTCCTGAGCTCCCATTTCCTCATTTTTAAAATGGGGATAACGTAACTATTTTCCCAGGTTATTGAGAGCATTGTTTGGTTTATGGAGACTGTAAGATGCTTTGCACATTGTAGCTGCTCAGCAAATGGCAGTTACTGTGTATCATCTTTTGGAAAGGAAGGGGCAGATTGTGTGAAATAGCTTCCGCTGCGTGAGTCCGGCTGTGCTGGGCTCGAGCAGGTCCCTTGTCCTGTCTTATGTTACTCCATTGCTCCTCTCAATAGCGCCGCAAAGCTCTTGTTAGGGGTGGACGGTGGTGGCGCCGCTATTCGTGTGCTCCAGGTCCTCCCAGCTGGTGAGCGGCAGGGCTTGGACTGGAACTCGGATCTGGTGACGCTTGTGTTCTGTGGCTCTCACTGCGATGTGCACGTGGACAAATAAGTGCTTTTGATAGGTGGTTGCTTCTGAAATGAGTGAGAGTATATAACGGAAGGTTTTTTTTTGTTTTTTTGTGGATTTACCAGTTAGGAGGTCACTTTTTTAGAATTATGAGTTTGTTTTGTAAATTACTTCTTCTAGGTCACAGAATGGAACCCTTAAAAACTGATAGTTTTCGTTGGCAGTTAAATAGAAACTTATTTCTTTTGTTTTGTGTGCTGGGGAGCATAAGATTTTAATGGTCGTTGTTTCTCTTTTAGGAGGAGAAAAACTTCCAAACACTTAGTTTCAGAGAAATAGTCAAATTTTAAAACCATTTTTCTAAATAGTTTTGTGTCCTTTAAATTTGCTATTTTAAAATTTCCTTTATATACAATTTTTTAATTATTAAAATTAAAGATATTTGCCTATTTTGGAAATTTGGAAAGTATATTGCTGACTTAAATTTGAAATCCAGGGGCTGACCCCATGGCTGAGAGATTAGGTTTGCACACTCTGCTCCTGTGGCCCAGGGTTTCACTGGTTTGGATCCTGGGCATGGATCTAGCACCGCTCATCAGGCCATGCTGAGGCGGCGTCCCACACAGCACAACCAGAAGGGCCTACAACTAGAATGTACAGCTATGTACTGGGGGCTTTGGGGGAGGAGAAGAAGAAGGAAAAAAAAAAATTGCAAATCCTTGGGGATGACATCTCCACTTGGAGAGTTTATTTTTCTCTCCTTGGATAATTGTCTTGTGGAGCCTTTCACTTTCTGTCTCCAGTCTGAATTGATTGCTCCATCAGCCTACCGTGCAGTTGTCACTCTGCAGCTTCTTTTTACTGCATATATGAGCCAAATTCATTGCTTTTTGAATCCTGTGCCATGTTTCTTAGTGTAGACTTTTATTTTGCTGAACCATACCTCCAAGGAACTTCCTAAGAAAGAGTACATGGAATGTGAGCTTTCTGAGTGTTTATGCATTTGAAAATATCTTCATAGAAATTCTGGTCGAAAATAACTTTCCCTTCTAACTTGTAAGGTGTTGGGCTCTTATTTGTCAGCATATAGTGTTGCTTATGAGGAGTCTGGTGCTAGTTTAGTTCTCTTAACCATGTAGTTGACCTGATTTTCTTTCCTGAAAATTGGTAAGATCTTCTGTTTTCCTTGATGATCTTAAATTTCACATTGTGTCTATGTGGATGCTTGGTTAAGTTCTTTCAATTTGAAGACTCATGTTCTTTAGCTTAGATAACTTCTTCCCTCTCTTTTGTTTGTTATGGTTGTTTTCTTTCTATAACTCTTATTTGTTAGATATTGGCGTCTTGGATGGATTCTGTCTCTATATATTCTTTCTTGCTACTCATGTCTTTTGGAGACTTCTCTCAACTTTATATTCTAACCTGTGGTAGATTTTATTTTCCAAAGACAGTCACAGCAGGATTTCCAGGATTTGTCACTCCCTGTCAAGAGGTGGAATTTATTTCCCTTCCCTTTGAACCTGGACAGATTTGTGATTGCTCCAACTAACAGAGTATAGTGGAAGTGATGCTATGTGACTTCTGGGGTTAGGTCATTAGAAGGACACAGGTTCCCTCGGTGTGTGTGGCTCTGTGTCTGTCTCTGTCTCTCTCTTTCTCAGAGTGCTTGTTCTTGGAACCCAGCCACCATGTTGTCAGGAAGCCCAGGGCACAGAGAGAGGTCGTGTGTAGATGTTTCAACCTGTAGCCCCAGCTAAGGTCTCAGATGGCAGAGTGAATGAGCCTTTAGATAATTTCAGTCCAGGTTTATGCCAAGCAGAGCAAGGACGAGATCTCCCTGCAGCCCTGCTCAAATTGCAGATTCAAGAGCAAAAGAAATGTGGTGTTGTTGTTTTAAGCCACCAAGTTCAAGGGTAATTTTTATGTCATCAAATTTCTTATTTTGATAATCGTATGTTTTTAAAAATGTTTGTTGAAGTGTAACTTACATACAGTGAAATGCACAGATCTGAAGTGTACGGTTTGATCAGTTTTGACAAATGCATATACACTTACGTAATGCATAACCCAAGTAACTAACCCTCATGAAGGTGAACTTGGTAGACCAGAGCGAGCAGGGTGCACAGTGTTAGGTGGTGAGTTGAAAGATATTGGCAGGAATTCGGTTGTAATCTAAATAGGATAGGAAGCCATTGGATTTGTTAAAATAAATTTTTTATTTTAGAACAGTTTTAAATTTACAGAGTTGTGAGGATGGTACAGAAAGCTCCCATATAACCCCCGTCCACTTTTTCCTGTTGTTAACATGTTATGTTAGTGTGGTCCTTTATCACAACTAGGGGACCAATATTGATACATTATTATTAACTGAACTCCATACTTTACTTGGATTTTCTTAGTTTTTACTTAAGGTCCATATTAATTTATCTTGAGCTGCCATAATAAAATACCATAGACCGAATGGCATAAACAACAGACACTTCTTTCTCAGGATTCTGGATGCTGGAAGTCCGAGATTAGGGTGCCAGCATGGTCAGGTTCTGGTAAGATCTCTCTTCCTGGCTTGCAGATGGCTGCCTTTTTGCTGTGTGTTCACGTGACCTTTCCTTGTGTGTGTATGTGTGTGTGTATGTGTGTATTTGGGGGGAAGAGAGAGAGAGAGCTCTCTCACCTCTCTTCTTAGAAGGGTGCTAATCCCGTCACGAGGGCCCCACCCTCATGCCCTCATCTAAACATAGTCACCACCCAAAGGCTCCGTCTCTGAATTGCGTCATATTGGGGATTAGGCCCTCAGTGTTACAGATTTTAGGGATACAAATATTCAGTCCATTTCGCTAATATTTGTTAGGGATGCACATATGTAGTCCATGACAAGGTCCTTTTTGTGATCTAGGATCCTATGCAGGATTTTCCCACATTATGTTTAGTCATCGTGTTTCCTTAGGTTCCTCTAGACTCTGACAGTTTCTCAGACTTTCTTTGTTTTTGGTGATGACAGCTGCTAGGAGTACTTGTCAGGGATTTTGTAGAATGCTCCTCAAGTGGGATTTGTCTGATCTTTTTCTCATGATTAGTCTAGTCTGGGCTTATGGGTGTTTGGGAGGAAGACCACAGAGGTGCTGTGTCGTTTTCATCACATCATATCGAGGGTATGTCCTTTCAACTTGACGTCATATCACTGTTGATGTTGATCCTGATCGCCTGGCTGAGGCGGTGTTTGTTAGGGTTCTTCACGGAAGTTTCTCTTCTTTACCCCTGCTTTCCACATGTACTCACTGGAAGAAGTCATTCTGAGCAGCTCAGACATGGGGGTAGCCCCAGATGTGCTGAACCAGGAATTAGCTAACCTGATTTACTTTTAAGAAGATCTTGGTAGTGTGTAGAGGACGAGAGTAGAGCCCGTGAGAGCAGGGGAGTGTGGTGGTGACAGTGGGGTGGTGAGCCACACCTGGGGTATGCTTGAAGGTGGAGCTGACGGGACTTACTGATGGACTGAGTGTGGGTGTGAGAGAGAGAAGAGTCAGGGGTGATGCCTGCTCCTGGGTTTTTGGCCTAAGCAACTGGGCAAATGATGGGGGAAACGAGAAGAGATGTGGCTTTTGGAGTATGGGAAGGGATGGATATGAAAGATTTTCTGTTGGCTGTGTTAACAGTTTGAGCTGCCTGTTAGACTTTGAAGTAGAAATGTTGAGTAGAGCATTGTGAGTCTGGAGTTCAGGATATAGGGCAGGGCTCATGATTCAGTTAAAGAATTCCATTGTGCTTTCAGACTACAAATTGGGTTTGCTAGAATAAAGAGCCTGTGGTAATTTGATCAGATTGATGAAAAAAATTAAAATCAAAGAAATATGTCCTTTCTGAGAGCATTGCAAATAAAAAGAAGAAGAAAACATAGGTGATTGCTCTGTCTGCATCAGTGGCTTTCTGTATCTGACTTCAGGTCCCAGGTAATACAGCCGGTGGAGCAGTGGAGAATTCAGAATTTGATTTGGATGTCTTATAGCAATCAGGAAAAGAAATTGGAAGTTTTAGTGTTTTCCCTGAGGAACTGTGTACATATATTTTGGGGGCCTCAAAGACAGCCAGTGTACCAGTGTATCACATTTTATCTTCCTTAGAGGGAAGCCAGTCAGGAGTGGGAGGCCTCTGAACAAGCTGTGTTTTGATGTAGCTGCCGGCTTTCTTCTTTTTGCAAGGGGAATGCCGGCTCTTGGCGCCTCTTCCTGCTTCCTCCTGCTCACACTCTGATCCCTCTGCTGTGACCAGTGGGGGTGACTGGCTTTCCCGTCTTGATTCTTCTCCTTGTGATAATGAAGATAGGGAGGCTGAAGCATTTATATTATTTGGAACCATAATAGGAAATTTAAAGGCTATTTGGCAATTACACGTAAAATTACGTTACATTTGACCAATGCTACTCTTGACATTAAGTGTGTATCTTTAAACAACATCATGTTTAGTTTTTCCGTTTTGACTTTTGACCTTTATGTAAATTATTCATATTGTATGTTTTCTTCTGAGTCTTGCTTTTTCAGTCAATATTATGTTTGCCAGATATATTTGTATTGGTAGCTGTAGCTGCAGTTTTTTCATTGTCACCCTTGTCTGGTGTGAATATACTGTAACTTACTTGTATTCTCCTGTCCAAGGCCATTTGGGTGGTTTCCAGTTTTTTACTGTATGAGCAGTGCTACGCTGAACGTTCTTGTTCACATCTCCTTGTTACACATGCAAGAATTTCTTTAAGGTTTGTCTGCCTAGGGGTGGAATTAATGGTCATGGGGATTGTATCTTTGCCTTTACTAAATAATGCCAAACTGTTTTTGAAAGTGGTTATACACTTGCACCAACAGTATATTAGAATTCTCTTGTTCCACATCCTCATGAGCACGTAGCCCTGTTATCAGGTTGATAAATTGTGGCCAATCTTTTGGGTATGAAAAGATATTTTGTGATTTTAATTTTCATTTTCCCTGAAAACAGTAAGGTTAGTGTGTTTTCATATAGTTTCTGGCCATTTGTATTTCCTCTTCTGTGAAGTGCTTATTCCTGTCTTTTGCCTATTTTTAAATTGAGTAGTTTGTCTTTTTCTTACTGATTTTTAGGGAACTGTAGACCCATTAAATAACAGCTCTCTATTTCCCCCTTCCCTCAGTCCCTGGTAACCACGATTCTGCTTTCTGTGCTGTGTATTTGACTGTCCTAGGCACCTGCTATATAAGTGGAGCTCTCCTACCAGGGTCTGAACCTGCCCCACCTCGGTCGAGCTGGCCAGGTAGGTGGACCATGTCAGTAAAGGATCAGAAGTGTGTGTAATATTTGTTTGGTTTTACTTTTCTTTGTACATTTCATAATCTACCAATACAGATTTTATTCTTATTTTCCTGTTAAGAAACTATGGCAGAGAGAGATCATAAATGCCAGAGATTACTTGGTCAAGGCTGGACCAAGGATTTGTATTTATGGTTTATTAGGTAATAATGAGCTGCTGACTTCAGATCTGCAGTTGTCAGCCTGCTGTGACGTTCTTATGAGACACATCCCCATTTCTGTACACGGTGTTACGTGGAGTTCCCAGCACACTAGTCGCATCGCTACTGCTTTTTTCTTAGAAATGTGAGGGCAAGAGTAACGTTTTGGGGATAACCTTATTAAAGTAAATTGTTCACAAACTTGACTGTTTTAGCTTTCATTAGTAATATTTACTTTGTGACGTGCCTCAAAACTGAGTTACTTTTCTGTGATTCGTAATTGCTGCCTTTGATTACTTCATTATGGCGACTTTATCAGCTGTTGGGGCTACTTAACATTCACCTCAGCGGTAGCGTAAATATTTGATAATCTGGGAGGTGCGGATGGTCTCCACTGTGGCTCTCCCCAGCCCCACAGTGGAAGCTCTTGTTAGGAGTTTGGGAGTGGAGTCAGTGCATCCTTGGCACACCCTCCGTGAGAGGATCGATGTTGATTTCCTGTGATCGATTCACCACATGTCACTGTATAGGTTGGAAGTCAAATACTTGTGATTTGTATTAAAGAATTACTTTGTGGCTCATGCTTAATATAAAAATGGCATCAAGCAATAGGAAAAAGAGATTACACATAAATTTGAATAATACGGTGATATGAATAAGATAAAACTAATGGTGAGCCCACAGGTATTTAACAACACATATTGATTCAGTGCTGGTCGTACACCAGGAGTAGGTTCTGAGGGACAGTAAACAGAATAGACAAAAATCCCTTTTCTCATGAAATGCACATTCTAATGATTATTTTAATTATTTACTTTAGGATAATTTACAATGTGTGACATCAAGAGACATAGTGATCAGTTGTGATTCTTTTTTGGTGGCAGTGTCTGAAACCTTTAAAAGTTCTTAAAAAAAAAGTGAGAAATTAAAAATTCTTCCATTGGCTCATTTGGATGATGTATTGTATATGTGCTTAATTGCTAAGTATTCCTAAGGCAAGGTGTCTCAGAGCCCAAGCTAATCATTAAAAGTTAATATTTTTATATTGGCATGATCCTTATTGAAAAGTGTTCTGTTTTTGGTAAGAGGCAGTATAATTTCAAAATCAAATCCACATATTTGTAAGATGATATCGTAGTGATCTGAAATCTGATGATAATGAGGCAGCCCAGAGGAACAGTCAGTTGTTTGTATAATTTGAAGCTTTGTAAAATTAATGGGCCAGTTAAATTGGCTTTTTTTTTTTCTTTTTCAGGGCGGGTGCTTTTTACCCAGTAGCACCTAGGCTCCTGGATATGAATGCTTTCAAGTTAAATTAGGAAAAGGTCACTATTCTTATTTGGGCTAATGCTTCTGATAGTCATAGCAGCAATGAATGAGTGAATGAATTAAATGGATTTTATTACAAATATGATAAGTAAACAAATTTATAAGATAATTTTAGGTAGTGATAAGTACTGTAAGGTCAGTAAAATGAGATGTATGATAAAAAAAAAAAAAAAAAGACGCCTGGGGATGCTACTTTAGCTTGTGAGGTCTGCAAAGCTTTTGAAGATGTGGTGTTTGAGTTCAGATGTGAATGGTGCAGTATCTGTATTTTGTGCATTCCAGGGGTGGGGGTGAGAGGGCTTTGGCCTTGAGGTGGAAATGAGTTTGGCATGTTAGAGAAGATCAGTATGGTTGAAAGGAAGTCAGTGAGAGAAATAGTGGCACATGAGGCTAGTGGGCTTCTGGTTCTCTGAGGACAGAGTAAGGAGTTAAGATTATATTTTAATTATTATGGGCAGTCTACCAAAGTATTTTAAAGCTGGTCACATGACTGCTTGCATTGTGGGAACTGACTTGTAGAAGCAAGAGAGAAAATTGGGAGACCTTGTAGTCAAGTCTACCAATTGTCCAGTCAAGAAATGATGGCGGCAATGGAGATGGAGACGAGGGCTAGAGCCTGCATGCTGGATATAATTTGGAGACAGAGCGAAAAGGACTTAGGAATGCATTGGAAGGTAATAAATAAGTAGTAGTCAAGGGTAATTGCTAGGCTTTTGGTTGAGCAGCTGAGTTCATGACGGTGCATTACCGAGATGGGTAAATTTGGGGAAGAAGGAAGGGAGGGGATCAAGAGTGCCCTTTTGGCCACAGTGAGTTTTAGATTCTTATTCGACATCCAAGTGAGGAGTTAGTGGGCAGTTGAATAAGTGAAACTGGAGCTCAGTGGAGAGGTCAAGATAAAAATTACAAAGTTAGGTGCCAGCAGCATAGAGATGACTGCCCAGGAGTGCGTGGCATCGTCAGTTTACGTCTTTAAACTGAGGAAGTTGGACTGGACGGTCTTTAAGTTCCCTTCTTTCTGAAAATCAGACATTTATTGAGTCACACAGACTGTCTGGGAGGAAGTAAAGAAATGGGAATGTTCACTAAAATGCGTTTAGCTTGTTAGACCGTGAAAATGATGAATAGGGAGGAAATACAGGCATTAATTGTCCTACATCTGTGTTCATTCCAAAATCGCTTGACAGTTGCTTGTCCACAAAGCTTGATATATAGCTGAAATGAAATATCCTTTCAAAAGTGAAGGTAATCTCAGTCACATTGTCAGGTTTTCAGTTAAACCCAAGTGATGGTCAGTGTGAGTTTATTTTTATTTAAAAAATTTTAAACAACTTTGTTGAGGTAAAATTGACACACAGTAAACTGTACATATTTAAAGTGCAAAATTGGATGTTTCGACACATGTATCCTTCCGTAAAACTGTCATTGTGACACATATAACACACGTCTCTGTCACCTCCGAAGTCTGCTTGTGCCCCTTAGGAATACCGTCGCCTCATGCTTCTCCCTGCCTTGCATCTCAGGAAACCACTAATCTGCTTTTTCTAGAAATTTGTATAAATAGAATTGTCCAGTAGGTGCTCTGCTTTTTTCCTCAGTTCTTTCACTCCGTGTAATTATTTTGAAATTCAGCGTGTTTTTGTATGTGTCACAATAGCTCATCCTTTTTTATTGTATGGATATACGAGCATCGGTTTGTCCAGTTGTTGTGAATTTGGACTCCCCTTACTTTTTCCCTTCAGCAAGCCTTCTGATTTGCTAGTATTGTCCCTAACCACGAAGAAACAAATATTGAGGTGCACACACACATACACGCACATACACACACTCTTCAAACCCTCTTGATATAAGGGGCGATCGTTCTTTGTGTTTGTATTCGTCCCCCCTTTGTCCTGTCCAGGGATGAGCTCCTTGTTGGTGATTGTCACAGTCAGCCTGCCAAGTGTTGTGGGTAAGAAGCACATCAACCCTTCCTTTGTGCTCTGTGTGATATTTTGGGATGTGTGTATGGTGAGTTTGTTTTGCTTGGAGTAAATTAATTTCAGTAGAGCGCCTTTGCTTGAGCTTGATAATTTAGCAGTTGTGGATGCAGTGAATCTAGCATCTTTTAATTTCACAGGTAAATGTAAATAAATTCCTTCTTAGTTCATAGGAATTTTACACGGATGGTTAAGACTGAAATTAAGTGAGAAAAGCTCTCATTAAGCTGATAGGTAGAAGATATGTCTTTTAATCTCTGTGGGGTCTTGATTAAATCACTTGCTTTCTGATTTTGTTTTGGTGCATTTAGAAAAGCTTACTGCTTTTTGGTTTCTCTGGATGATCTGAGAATACACTTCAGGATCTGCCAGTTAATAAACCCCTGGGAGTCTGGCTGTTTTTAACAACTTCGAATTTAGCTTGGAGTAGGAGGTTATGGGATGTCTGGGCTCTCGCCTTGCTGTTGTCTGGGAAGGAAGAGGAGAGAATGTTGTATCTAAGGTACAGGCCTGTCCTGGTAGAGCAGGGTTCTTTGCTGGCTAAACCCAGTGTGTTTTGCTTTTGTGGCATTAGGATAGGCAGTTGGCATATAATTCAGGAGGTAGGATTTGGTTCCGAGAGGCATGCCAGAGAAGTCCCTCCACTTTGTGTTCTCATGACACCAGTCCTCCCTGCCATCCTCCTCGGCAGCCGTCATTGTTATCCCTCATTTGTCTGTCTGCTTGCGCGCCTGTAGGCTTTGTGAGCGCAGAACTATCATTTCTGTATTGTTTGTTGTACTTAAACATAAATGTTTACTGAAGGTTGAAGAGAATGCATGTTTATGCTTATATATTTATTTTTTTATTTCTGGTTATGGAGTTTCCAATTGTAGTAATTAGTACTGTTTTAAGGCCCTAAGAAAGATGGAAGATAAATATGAGCTGTTATGTTAATAGTTTCCTCTCCTTGATTTTAAGCAAGCTCTTGAGGCATGATTTTCTTTCTGCTTTTTCTTTCAGTGAGTTAAAAGCACAGATAGAGACAGGCACTCCACTCCAGGATGGGTAGGAATTCATAGATGAGTAAAATTTGTTTGCAGGCCTTGAGAAGCTCACAGTCTAAAGGGAAAGTCAGAATAATAGGCCAGTAAGTGACAGCTGCTGTATAGAAATAATTTAAAATGTGTTTTGGAAGCCCAGAAGTATGAGTAAAGTTTCCATAGTTTCTAGTTGAGAAGCTGGGTGGAAGTGATCCCGTTAACTAAGATAGGGACCTCAGAGGAAAGAGGCAGATTTGGTAGAATGATGAGATAGATAAGGGTGCAGTAGAGAATTCAGTTTATGTATCCAATTTGAATTCTGTGCAGAATGTTATTCTTTTTGGATAATCTGTGGATTTTTATGGTGGTTTATAAAAACTAGTTTCCCAGATTTTTGGTTTGAATTTATTTTTACTACTTACGGGAGGTCGTAGTTCTTGAGTTAAATAAGTTTCGTGTTACGTTACGAAAGTT